TTCTAATTATTTCTGGATTATTGTAGAATGAGTGTATTTTATTCTTGATGGGAAAAAAGTTATGTAACACAAATTAAATAAATGTTTCTTATAGCACATATCAACTGATAGAATTTTGGAATTAAATACTATTAACACCTTCATTCTTTGATAACAAGCATGTTTTCTTAAAGATAAAGTGATATTTTATGATTTACGAACTTAGTTGCTCATTTTAAGGTAATTCAGTTTCCTCTGAACATACAGATAAGTTTATAAGGCCAAGCCTTTTCTTCAGTAACCATCCTTTTTACAATAAATAGCATTCTGTATTTTGGAAATAAATTATTTTAAACTCCCTCAGTATATATTCTGGGTTTCTTTTTTCTGTACTTAAAATTGCATTACATTTCAGATTTCAAAGATAGAATCAGAGAAAAACAGCACGGCACAAAATAAGAAAAAAAGCATTTGAAAGATAACCTTTTATCTAAGTTTTTAAATATAGCAAAATATTTTAAAAGAATATAGATTGCTTAATAGGTAGAAATTATTGTAAATATTCAGTAATTTTATGGGGGTTGACAAAATTATGGGAAATAATTAGTTTAGAAATAATTGATTCAAATCATTTGAATTGAGGGATTTTTCAAAAAGGTTTAGTCATTTTTAGTGAAGTTTTAGTTTGTCATCTATAAACTTGGTAAATATTCTATTTTTATAATTGAGATCTATCCTACCTTTGTATTACTGAGGCCCTTCTACTAAGGAGGGTCTAATTTAGGCTTCTTTGTTTGAAAGATATCTCTCCTTCACCCAAAGGAAACGTTCTAAGACTCTGTGACCTTTACTAAGCCCACACAATGTGGTTAGCTTTTAATTATATGTAAGTTCTAATATGCACTTAAAATCTTTAGGCTTCTGTTTCCTTGTGTCAGGAACCTTGTTAACATAATGCTTATAACATAACATGTAAGACATATATTACTGAAGTACAATTAAATCTGATAACAGGGCTAAGTGTAAGCCTGTTGTAAGTGGCGATAAGTGTAGCCATTCAACAAAATTTCAAACAGATACCATATACCCTTGGTGAAAACTGCATTTATGGATAAACAAGCCCCATGTGTTTGCCTTTTTTAATAAAGTTGATTACAAATGATCATTTCTATTTGAACTGGAGATATGAGTTCAGTTGAAATATAATAGTAGTTAAAATATCACATTAGCAAGGGAAGAATTGGGGAAATTTTGCACAAAATTTTACATAAAAGCTAACTTATTCATTCTCTTGAGCTTTTTACCAAATATGATTAATGAAAATTATTATATACATACACACATACATATACAGTGAACAACAGTGACCATTCAATGATGGTTGCATATACAACAGTGGTCCCATAAGGTAATACCATATTTTTACTATATCTTTTCTATGTTTAGATATGTTGAGATGCACAAATACTTACTGTTCTTTTATATTAAAATAGTTTCCTACAGTATTCAATACAGTAACATGCTGTACAGATTTGTAGCCTAGGAGCAATAAGCTGTACCACATAGCCTTGGTGTGTAATAGGCTATACCATCTAGGTTTGTGTACGTATACTATTATTATTGCATAGCAAGGAAACTGCCTAATGATGTGTTTCTCAGACCATATCCCTGCTGTTAAGAGATGCATGATTGTATATCTTAAAAAGATTTTATTTTTAATGTAAAGACTAAAATATAGACAGCTTCAGTGTGTGTGTGTGTATGTGTACAGTATTATTTTACTTGATTAAAGACACATCCTTTTTATAGTTTGCAACTTGATGATACCTTAAATTTTAAAATATTTGTTAAAAAATAATTCACCATAAGTGATGAAATGGTGCTTATGGGTTTATTCATTCTAGTTTATAAATGTATTTTATTCCAGTGTAATTTGTAAAAATATTTTGTATGATGGAATGAACAAAAACATACTGTGCTTTTTTTCTTTTTCTTTCTTTTTTTTTTTTTTACAAAGTGTTTATATTTTTTAAGTCATTTTAAAGTAAGATCCAGCTATAATTGTGACAGTATCGGCCACTTAAGAAAGAGTATAGTTTCACAATCCTTAATCACTCTTAATTTGCTATTGATTAAGTGAAGAGACTGGTTTATTGGTTATAGAAGAGACTGGTAACTAGTTATTGGTTACATGAAAGAGAAAAGTTCTCACTAGAACCCTCCATTATCAGCACTAAAATGTAGAATATTTGACTGTGACATAGAAGTGATTAAAGAAAAGGTAGAAGAATGGGAATAGTGAATGGGGTACTTTCAGATTCTTTCAAGGTTCACTGATGTCTACAATAATGATGCTATATGCAAAATAAGAATAGCATATTACCATTTACATTAAGACATGGCTGCTTAAATGAGGTAGTTGATTATAAGTTTCTCTTTAAAATGAGACTGTTTTAATGCAAATAGTACATAATAAAACTAACCACAGAAAGGTAAGAAAGCCAAAAAACAACTTTTAAATACTGTTGATATAACTGTAGTTATACATTGAGATTTTTTGATTTTCATAAATATTCTATCTGCTAATAAAAGTTATGTGTTTTTATATAAGCTTCATTTGACCTATTTATTAATACATTATATTCACATAAATAATGGAAAAATGGCTTAATTGAGACTTTTAGTAGTGAGATCATTATCAAAATATTTCATTTTTATCCCTTTGTGGATAATATAAATTTTGTTTTATTTTTTAAAATTTTTTATAAAGTATTGTTTCTAAAATAAGTGTTACCATATTTCTTATAAAAATAAAAGCATTGGTGAATTATTTGACAGTTGTAACATGTACCATTTTTAAAAAACATCTCTAATTAAATACTATATAATAAAATATCCAATTCAGGTGTCACCATGAAAGAACTTTTTGTTTCTTCCTTGTTTGACTTTTTATATCACGTGTTTTTATTGGGTCATATAGCATCTAGTAGAAAGAAAATTGACCGGGTAATCAGGAGACCTCTGTTCTATTTCTGGCTCTGCCACTGAACTTGTTTTGTGACATTGGGTAAGTCACTTGAACTCTATGTGCCACAATTATTCACTAAAATAAATGAATGAATGAGTTGAGAAGAATTTTTAATGTTTTGAATCCATATAATAATTTGAATCCATATAAAGGCCATCGCATCAATGTCATATAAAGTAATCCAAGATATACAAAAATACAAGGCAGAGAAAGAAGCTTCATTTATTTATATACTTTTTTTGTTTTCTGCAAAAAAGTAAAATTTTTCTTAGAGATGAAATATATGTAAACAATGATTTCATCCAATTCATATCAATTTTATTTTAACATTGTGAGGAAACTATTTTAGTAAAGTGGTAAATGTGTATTTAGGAAAATTTTATATGTAAAAAATAATGTGAGACATGATGAAATTCAGCATTAGCCTATATTATTAATATAACTGTGATTTTCCTTTCTTATCCTCTTTTAGAAGTTGATAGATTGAGGATGGAAAAGAAAATATGGGATGTGTCATTTTAATGTGTATTAGTACCTTTCAGGTAGACATGAAGAATTTTGCTAGTGGTCAATCCTGTAAGCGGTCTGGTTTACAATTTAATTGTGGTGAGATTTAATGTCTGATTTTTGAATAGGTAAAAAATGTGCTCATATAAATAAAAATGACATTAAGTTTCAAAATGTGTCATTCCTTTTCCATTTGTCTATAATTCATGCTAAGATTTTTCTTTTTTTCTAAGAAAAAATGTTTTAGTTGTCTTGGACTTTTTTTCTAATGGAAAATTTTCATTTTCTCACTCTTCATATAAAGAGATAAACTTATTATAGGAAATAATTCTCTCAAGAGCTATAATTTCAATGTATTGATATTTCAAGTATATTTTGATATAATATGCTTTTCTATAAATCACTCAAATACCATGATACAACTATTACAGAACTGATAGTGGTATTTCAGAATTTTATTGGTATCTAATTTAAAGCTAAATGGGTACTTAAAGTAGATGATTTGGGTTATGGTCATTTGTGTCAGTCATACTAACACTAACTCACTAGTATCTTTTGAAGAAATGTTTTCTTAAAATACTGAGTTTCGCAGGTATCTTCTGGCTTTTGAATTACTATATAAAATGTCATTTGAACTTTTCCACCAGCAATGAGGAAAGAAGTATTTCCAAAACATGTGCCATATCTATTATAGTAGATGTTTGATTTGGTTGGATACATTTTAATAAAAATTTTGATGATCTATATGTGCTATTTGTAAGAATCTATTGAATAAATAGTCATTATAAGGGAATATGATCAAAGAAAATTTGTCTACTTTAGGTAATTTGAATTTTTAATATTTAAATAAAGTCATATATTTTAGCTACTTTTCTTGTAATGGGTTGTATTGTGTTTATTACTCCATATTTTTATGATAATATATTGTTATACTGAAGTAATTCAATGATTGGCCTAATGGCCATACTTTATTATCGTGTGTGCACTGGTGAATGGGCAAAGCATAAGAAGCATAGAAATCAGTTTGAACTATTTCTGTTGCTCTTTTGATAACTCAATTAAATTCTTTTCTCCAGATAATTAAGAATTCTAAAGCATTTTTACAGATTTTAAATCGGCTCAGCAATGTCTTGAACAATGTGATCATATAAGTAACATTGATATTACTAATGGTATCTTTCTTCAGCATCAGTGTTTAGGATTGGCTGTACATAAATAATTGTAAACTTTTGAATCCTCTTTATTTCTACACTAACTTTGTTTTTCTGATTCTGCTAAGCTATGATAGCTAATCAATTTGTCATCAGTTTTTATGTATTCCTTTTTATGGTGTGCATTTGATTATATCTTCCCTATGACTGTACACAGGATTTTCTCAAAATGACTTGAGGCCCTTTCCTTCACTGTCACTTTTTAACCTTTTGAGTACATCCACTCACACCCATCTCCTTTGTCTATGTCTGTCCATTACACGATGTGATCACAGAAGAAGTGGACTCCACAAGGAGAAGATATGCAGGTCTGTCTCTTCTACTGCTTTTCTTTATTATGATTTTATTTATCTAACTTGTCCTAGAAATTTTTACCATTTTTACTCATTTCATAATTTTTCATTCTTTTCTAATATAACAAAATGCAAAATCTTACAAGCATTTTTTAGATATTTATGTATTTGACTTTTAATAACAACTACTCCAATTAGATGGATAAAATTAAAATGATTATTTTTTATGTAATATATATGTAATTTTTCCATAACAGAATAACTAACTAGAAATTTTATATAATAGTCAGCTAGATTAACAAATTAATCACAATTTATTTTCAAACTTATTTTAGACTTAAAACTGTTTTTGGGGGTTTTTTTAAACATAATTGCAAAAGTATTTTTATTTTTACCATAAGTTCAGCAATGTTCTAGACTGTGGAAGAATACCAAAGACCTAATCCATACCTTAAAGAAGCTATCAATATCCCTGAGGAGTTAATAGATGTGTATGACATACTATGTTTATATGCCAATACAGATGATTTTAACAATATACTCTACACAGCTATAAAGAGAAATAAAATTTCTTTCAAAGATGGTCAGAAAAGACTTCACGGACGAGGTAACACTTGAGCTGAAACTTGAGCATTCATTCAATACACATTTATTAAACACATGGTATTGTTCTAGGTGCTGGAAATAACTGAGCACACCAAATAGATCCCTATCCTTGCAGAGTTTTTCTAGTGTGAGTCTAACAAATAAATGCAAGAATTAATTATAGGCACTATGAGATAATTGTATTTATACAAATAGAATACAGTAGAATCAGAAAAGATGGTGTGACATTTTCACCTGAGAAGGACAAATATTAGTTCAAGAAAGACCAGAATAGTTATATTAAATATTATTAATAAAAGCTAGAAAAATGTTGGCCTCTTGTGTAGAGAGTATTTCAGGCAGAGGAAGCAATATGGCCAATGGCATCAAGTGTAAGCAAAAGTAGGCAGAGACTGTATTTATGAAGAGTGTATTGGTTATTGAAGCATGTAAAGCAACAGAGTAATTAGGTCAGATACTTGTTTCTAGAAAGATTACTTTGGAAGCTATGTAAAAGATGGACTGGAGTGCTATAAGAAGAGAGATCATTTATGAAGATATTGTAATGATCAGTTAAGAAATGATAATGGTCTGAATTAAGGTATCAGTACAGGCAATCAATACATGAAAAGTTATATAAAGATGTAGAATCTATAAGTCTTTGTCACCAATTAAATATTGATTCAGGAAGAGGAGGGATAAGTTAATCGCAGGTGATAGAAATGTTTGGATAGATGGTGGTACATTTTATCAAGATAAGGAACATAGGTTGTACAAGTTTTAAGGGAAAAGACAGTTCATTTTGGGGATGGGTTGGGTTTATGCTTCCTTTGAAATATTCAAGTATAAATAACTAATAGAGGTGATTGGATATATGGGTCTGGACTCAGGAGAAAAGTCTGGGCTAGAATCATAGACCCCTAGTAGAGTAGCAGCATTCAAGGGATGCCATTGGAGTGAATGGAATTGCCAGTAGCATATGAAGAATAAAAAGAGAGCCAAGAATCAAATTTTGGGGATCACCAACATTTATTTACATTTAAGGAGTAGATGAAAGAACAAAAGCCAGAAAACTAAGTTGAAAAGAATTATTTAAAGACAGTAGGATATCCATGAAAGAAGAGAATTCAAGGAATGAGTGCATTTTAAAAAAGGGTATAATCAGCAGAGACAAATTCCATAGAATGGCAAATATGTTGTTAAATGATAAAACTATTCAATAATGATCTTTGCCTGATCGGTTTCAGGGAAGTTGTTGGGAGTGAAAGACAAATTCAGGAGAAGGGAAAGGAGATTGAAAAGAAAAAAATAAAGATAGTGAATATGAACTAGGCTTCTTGATGGCTTGGGGAATTTATAAAACTAAAAGTAGCTGCCATGGGGGATGAGACAAGGAGCTCACCAAAGATAATCTAGAAGAATGGTTATAGTTTAGCTAAGTGAAGACCCTAAATCTGTGATGGCATTGGTTCTCTAAGATTCTGTGTGTGATTAGCACATTAGCACACAATCTAAATGCAATTGTTTAGATCCAAGTTTGGAAATATGTGGGCAGATATAGTAGAAAAGAGAATAATGAAGTTGAGGGTGGCTGACAAGGAAAGTGGTTGAAGTAATGTTCAAATGGATTGGGAGTAAATAGCTATTAATTTATAGAGTAAATAACTAATTTTAATGGGGGTTTGGAATGCATTGTTTTGTAGTTCTTTATGGATATAAAATTGAATCTGCATTGGAAGATGAATCCTGAATTTAAAATGTTATTGTTAAATTTTTAATATATTACTCATGCATTCCTAATACTGTAACATTCAATTTTACCTAGGCCTATCCATTACCCCTATGTACTCTCTGTCCTAAAAGTTTCAGCTACTAGGGAAAATGTTTGTTCCTGTAAGGAATGTTAATCTGAGAAGCAGTATAAGAGTGCAGACTCTGGAACTAAACTGCCTCATCAGCTCCACTTATTTGCTCTGTCATGTTGTGAAAGTTGCTTTCTATGCCTCAGATCCTTCTTCTGTAAAATGAGGATAATAATGCTACCTCAAAGACTTAATTTGAACATATATTAGCTAATATGTAATAAACAAAACACCTAAAAACTGTCTCTAATCCAGAGTATATATGCACTATATAAGTGAAGCCATTATTTTATGAAAATACATTAAAACAATTTTTATTTTGAATCAGTTGTATTGAAGTCCATGCATTTTGATGTGTAGGCATTCTTTCTATGATTTAGATGATTTAGAGTTTTTTATGTTATATGCATTACAAATATACTAATTTGTGACTGCCAGTTTAGGAGATAACTATCATACAAGCTGATGCATCAGGACACCTATACCTGTATTCTTGAGCTGTATAATTTCTGAGGCAAAATCGTTGGGTTGTCTTAGAAAGAGCATTGAAATCAGATTGGTGTAAATTTTTTTTATTTAACTATATTCTGGGAGTACAAACATTTTGGTTACATGTTATGACTTTGCCACATCCAAACCCTGTTTTGAGGCATGCCCTTCCCCCCCCCCACAATGCTCACCACATCCATTAGTTGTGTGTTTACCCGTCCCCAAACCCCAAAGAATATTACTACTGTGTGAGCACCTTAGTGTTGATCAGTCAGTGCCAATTTGATGGTGAGTACATGTGGAGCCTATTCTTCCATTCTTGTGATACCTCACTTTGGGCTCAAGCTCTATCCAGGAAAAATAGAAGAGGTGTTAGATCACCACACCATTTTTTATAATTGAGTAGTATTCCATTGTATACCTATACTAAATTTTATTAATCCACTCATGGATTGATGGGCACTTGTGTTGTTTCCACATCCTTGATATAGTGAATTGTGCTGCTATAAACATTCTCCCTTGGCAAGAGGTGAAGACAACAGGTCAGAGACAACCCAACAGATTGGTGTAAATTTTAATCCAGGTTCTGCCTACGGACATGACTTTAGGCTGGTTGCGTAACACTCCTCATTAATCTCACCTAACTCCAGCTGGATTAATGGTTAATTATTTTTTAATGAAAGCATAAATGATCATTTCTGGGAAAAAAGAAAGCTTCCCTAAAAATAAAAGCAATGAAATAAATTTAAAAAGAGAGAGAGCTCTGACTACAATTTGGCAGTAATAAACATCAGAATAACAAAATCATCATGGATAAATTAAAAGGCATGCAACAAACTGGGAATACTTTTGCTGCAACTTACATAAGGTGTTAAAAACCTTAATACCTGAATAACTTTATAAATAAGTGGTATATTCTGTAAAACTCTAGGAGAAAAATAGACAAAAGGTACCAAAAGCTATGTACAGATATTCCCCTAACAAGAAATACGGTGGTAAGTAAATATATGAAAGCATTTGTTTCAATCATAACAAAGTAAATGAATATTATCTTAATGAGATAGATACCATATTTCAGTTATTTAAAAAACCATGGTGAGAGTGTGATAGTAGGGTAGCAATGTAGGATAGTCTTTCTATAGAGTACTTTCACAAAATAAATCAAGAACCTTAAAAATGTTCACAGACTTTCAACCTGGTAGAAACAACGATTCAAATAAAAAGTATGTAGACAAAGTTCACTAAAGCATTATCTGTAGCAATTAAAAAGATGTTGCCATGAATGTTAAATAATGGGGCAATGGCTAAACAAATTATTAATATATACATAGATAGCTATTTAAATGCTAAATTTTATTGAGGCTGACGTCTGTAATCCTAGCACTTTGAGAGGCCGATGTGGGAGGATCTCTTGAGGGCAGGAGTTTGAGACCAGCCTGAGAAACAGTGAGACCCCGTCTCTACAAAAAAATGGAAAAATTAGTCGAGCATAGTGGCATGCACCTGTAGTCCCAGCTGCTCAGGCTGCTGAGGCAGGAGGATTGCTGGAGCCCAGGAGTTGGGCATTGCATTGAGCTACGATGATGCCACTGTATTGTAGCCCAGGATACACAGTGTGACCCTATCTCAAAAAAAAAAAAAAAAATTCACATAGAAATTAGAAACATTTCTATTTCTTTTGAGATTTGAAAGAAATTGAAAGTAGTATCTGTAAAGAACTTGTTACAAAGTTTTATCCATAGTAAATAATCATAGAACTGTAGGTCTTACTTATCATCACTTAACAAATATACTTATTTAGTCTTATGATTTATGTTTGTCATTAGCTAACACAGGGTTTGCAATAGGATTTTGAGTCTAAATTTAATACATCAGTAATCTGTAAACAATGAATTAGTAAGGACTTTGGATAATTCTCATTTCTGAGATTGTTTAAAAAGAAAAAAGAAAATTTAAGAGTAGAACTGAGCATTGGACTATATCCTTATTGACCACTTAAGTTGTTCATCTGTGATATTAGAAACAAATCTAATTACTTAATTTTAATTTTTTTAAAAAAATGCTTCCTTTTAAGAAAAA